CACCCTATATATGTGGGGGTGCCCAGGCATTGGGGGGGGCACCCCATATATTTGGGGTAACCCACACACTTGGGGGGGTCACCCCACATATTTGGGGGTGCCCGGGCATTTTGGGGGGGCACCCCATATACTGGGGGGACCCAAGAGTCTGGGGGGGCACCCCATATATTTGGGGTGACCCAGGCGTCCTGGGGGGGGTCACCCCATATATCTGGGGGGGGTCACCCCACATATTGGGGGGGTCACCCCACAGATTTGGGGGGGCACCTGTGGATGCTGCGCTCGGGGGGCAGGTCGGCCTCGTAGTACCCGTCCCGACAGTCCTTGCCCACCAGCTCGTGGGGGTGGGGGCGATGGGGGGGCTCCTTGGTCACCAGCGACACCCGCACCCGCGCCGGGCCCTGGTAGTTGTTCACCTGCAGGGGAGAAAACATACTGGTTTGGACTGGTTTGGACTGGGTTGGACTGGGAGGCTCAAGAGGATGGTGGGAGGGGGTTTTGGTGGGGTGGGGGATGAGTTCCCTGGGGATGGGGACACTGGAGAGCACTGGGAGGGCCATGGGAGGGGTTGAGAAGGGTCCCAGGCGGTTACTGGTTTATACTGGTTTATACTGGTTTATACTGGAGTATACTGGGAGACTCACACGGATGGTGAGGTGTGTTTTGTTGGGGTGGGGGATGAGCTCTCTGGGGATGGGGGACAGCGGGGGGATACTGGGAGCACTGGGAGGGCCATGGAAAGGGTTCAGGGCTGTCACAGATGGCTACTGGTTTATACTGGTTTATACTGGGGTATACTGGGGTATACTGGGAGAGTCACAAAATGGTAAGGTGGATTTTGGTGGGGAGGGGGATACCAGGGACAGGGGACAGATGAAGGGGACACCAGGGACAACATGGGGACAGGGAAGAGATGAAGGGGACACCAGGGACAGGGGACAACTGTGGGGGGCTCTGGGGACAGCCTTGGGGGACGCCAGGGACATGGGACAGATGAGGGGGACAGCATGGGGAGAGGGGACAATCCTGGGGGGACACCAGGGACAGCGTGGGGACAGGGGACAGCCCTGGGGACACCCACCAGGGACAGGGGACAGTGTAAGGCCAGGGGACAACCCTGGGGACACACCACGATGGGGGGGCTCCTTGGTCACCAGCGACACCCGCACCCGCGCCGGGCCCTGGTAGTTGTTCACCTGCAGGGGAGAAAACATACTGGTTTGGACTGGTTTGGACTGGGTTGGACTGGGAGGCTCAAGAGGATGGTGGGAGGGGGTTTTGGTGGGGTGGGGGATGAGCTCCCTGGGGATGGGGACAACGGGGGGATACTGGGAGCACTGGGAGGGCCATGGAAAGGGTTCAGGGCTGTCACAGATGGCTACTGGTTTATACTGGTTTATACTGGGGTATACTGGGGTATACTGGGAGAGTCACAAAATGGTAAGGTGGATTTTGGTGGGGAGGGGGATGAGCTCTCTGGGGATGAGGACACTGGGGAGCATCAGGGGGATACTGGGAGCACTGGGAGGGCCATGGGAGGGGTTGAGGGGGGTCCCAGGCGGCTACTGGTTTATACTGGTTTATACTGGGAGACTCACGCAGATGGTGGAGTAGGTTTTGTTGGGGCAGGGGATGAGCTTCCAGGGGATGGGGACACTGGGGAGCATCAGGGGGATACTGGGAGCACTGGGAGGGCCATGGGAGGGGTTCAGGGGGGTCCCAGGCGGTTACTGGTTTCTACTGGTTTATACTGGTTTATACTGGGAGACTCACGCGGATGGTAGGGTGGGTCTTGGTGGTGTCGGTGCTGTGCTCCCCGGGGATGGGGACACCGGGGGGATACTGGGAGCACTGGGAGGGCCATGGGAGGGGTTGAGGGGGGTCCCAGGCGGCTACTGGTTTATACTGGTTTATACTGGGAGACTCACGCAGATGGTGGAGTAGGTTTTGTTGGGGCAGGGGATGAGCTTCCAGGGGATGGGGACACTGGGGAGCATCAGGGGGATACTGGGAGCACTGGGAGGGCCATGGGAGGGGTTCAGGGGGGTCCCAGGCGGTTACTGGTTTCTACTGGTTTATACTGGTTTATACTGGGAGACTCACGCGGATGGTAGGG